GCCACATATTTCTGTCAAAACCCAGCCCGAGCCCGACATTATTTAATGACCAAAGCAAACACAGCAGTTTGTGTCACACAGTTTTTATGGTTACAAGCTATTTAACAGGCCGGGCGTGCGCCATGGCTGCTCAGCGGAGAGGGAGACCTCCATGTTTGAGACGGGAGCGGGAGGCGGGAGGTCCGACGCTTCCAGCGAGAGGAGAGGGAGAAATAAAACAAAATAAGTTAAAATAGGAGACACCTGTCTCCCTCTTTTATTTTATTTTCAGCGTTTAATCAAGGTGGAGGCGGGCAGCTGGAGGTCCGAGACTTCCAGAGAGGGGAGAGGTAGAAACAAACAGCCAGTGCGTTTCTGTGTGTGTTATGTTCAGGTGTTGTCACGTAAATAACAGTGCCCAAGCAATAAACAGGACAGACAATAGGATTTTATTTATTTTTACACTACATTTTCACTGAAAGCTGACCGAATCCGACCTGAGCCCGAATACAATTTATACATTTTTGACCAAACCCGGCCCGACCCGTCGGGTACCGTCGGGCTAGGATCGCCACACTGTAGTGTGTGTTTGTGTCCCCTATTGGGGCCTATCTGAAATTCTGATTAAATAAGTAAGTGAGTGAGTTACCAAAAGCACTATTTATGGCAAAAATGTTGTGGAAGATAATTAAAACTGTACATCTCCACCAAAGCCATCACCAACACCACACACTCCACACTCACCAACTGTCTCACTGAAATACAATCATGGATGCAAACAAACTATCTCCAACTGAACAGTGACATAATCATCATTGACCCCATATCCCGGACCAAAGCCACCCACAACCTCTGCTTCACCTTCGATAAATGCTCTCTGTCTCCCTCACCACACACCCACAACCCAGGAATCATCTTCGACAGCCAGCTAAGGTTTGACCACCACATCAGTCACATCACCAGGACTGCCTTCTTCCACCTCAAAACATTGTCCGTCTCTGACCCTCACTCCCCTCCTCTGCTGCAGAAACCCTCATCCACATCACATCCAGACTGGACTATTGCAATAGCATCCTCTATGGCTCATCATTCAAATTCCTCAGTAAACTTCAATACATCCAGAACTCCACTGCCCGCCTGCTCACCCACACCCGCTCCCGAGACCACATCACCCCCATCCTCCAAATCCTACACTGGCTCCCCATCACATATCGCATACAATTCAAAATCCTCCTCCTCACACACAAAGCACTCAACAACCAGGTCCCCTCCTACCTCATACACCCACTCCACCACCACACCCCCTCCGGCGACCTCCGCTCATCTGAAGGAAATCTCCTCTCACTACTTGCACGGACCGAGCACCGAACCTGGGGGGACAGGGCCTTCTCCATCTCTGCCCCCTCCCTCTGGAACTCACTCCCCAAACCCATCCATATCTGCACACACCTCCCAACATTCAAGACCATCCTCAATACACACCTATTTAAATTAGCTTTTAATGTACAAGTTTGTGTGTTTTATACTGTTTTATTGCTGTTTTCGAGTTTTATTCTGACTTAGCTCTATTTAATGATTTTTAAAAAACTGTAAAGTGTCTTTGAGCATTTGTTAAAAGCGCTTACGCATAAAAATTATTATTATTATTAAAATACAAATGGAAGGAGGTGAAGTGTTTTATGCAGCAATAGCCATTTAAGTTTCTACATTTTGATCCTTGTTTTTTCCCATGACTTGTAGGTTATTGTAATTGTTATGAGTCCAAGCTGACAACAGCTCCCATGCTCTGCTAAAGAGAAAGCTACTAATTTTCACTGTGTACTTGAAGACCAGCAGGGGCAGAGCCAGACATTGTAAACATTCAGGGCTCAGGCCAAACCTAGGGGATCCGGAGGCTGAATTTGCATTTTAGAGGATAGTGAAAGCATAGCCCAACCTGCCTTATGCCCCTTTTCCACCAAAATTAGTGCTTGTACACAGTTTTGTTAAACACACACTAAAAATAGGTGTTAGACTCCTTTTCCATTGCCAGTAGACTACAACTGTGTATACAGCTCTTTGTTTGTTATTTTGGTGTGTCACGTTCAACGTCACAAACAGGAAAACAGGTTAATAAACAGAAGGGAGCAGCATGAAGGCCAGTGAAATCTTTACAGTGGTTATGTTAGGGATAATGTATAGTGAGTCAGTGACAGTTGAAGAATAACTCCCGACAGGGGAATGGAACCCCAGCGCGCAACTGTCACCGGCTCACTATACATTATCCCGCTTAGAACATGGCTTACTACTTACTTCTTCTAGTTGCTTGTGCCAGTTTGCTCCTGACGGCCCTGTGATTTTCTCTTTCTTTTCTTTTTTTTTTGCTGGGGACATGTCATTTTTTAGCCAAACATCAAGCGTTTTGTCCTCTCCCAAAATGTTAAAAGTGATGTCCTGAAAATGCTGCATTTTTCCCCTCCGATCCTATTTGGCCTGTGTGGACTAACGTTAACTGATTTTGATGCTCCTCAGTCTAAGGCCGTTGCTATGGCGTCCCTAGCAACGGAGCAGCAGAGCAGCGGTGATACCTCAAGAAATAAACACCGCAGAATTTTGTTGACTGACCAATCAGAATCAAGTATTTAAGAGTGCCATGTTCTATTTTTTTTATATATCCCTTATCTATTCAGCCTCTCTTTCAAAATCAATGCACACTAATGTGTAACAATGTCTGTGTGCTGCTTGGGTGGAAAAGGACAGTATTTTTTTGGTGGCAGGTCATTACATCTCACCAGTTAAGGGGCTAAACTTAGCGCGTTCCCCCAGTTGTTGTGTTTACATCTATGCCGAATGGAGCCAAAGTCGCTAAACACCAGTGACTACTGCAGTCATTTGACCCGGGTGAGAAGGCAGATTGTAAACTTTCCCATTACATTAAAAAGGGAGATGTTAGTGGGTGTTTTGTGCTGTAGAAAAGAGGTTTTATTCTGCCTCTGGTTGGCTTAACCTGTCATTCTTACCCTTACCCAAACCAATCCAAATCCTCTTGCACAAACCTAACCAATCCAACCAATGAAGGCCAACCAGAGAGAGAGAGTAGGGCGGGTCATGCCTTCGCTCTCCTAGGAAATGCTAATTTGTGTCCAGGGGCATGCTCCCCTGAGGAGATTTTTAAGTAGCTTTATGTACTAGCACCTTTGGCCTTGGGCTGGGGTCATTTGTACCATTTGACCCCTCAAGACAGTGGGCCTGTATAGAGTCTACATCCTATTTTGTATCTAATTGTTCTTCTGCTGTCTTTGTCCTTCTGAAAATATAACAACTAAAGTTGAGCATGACTATTTTTCACTCCTGCAACCTAAAAAGAGGGGAAAAAACTGTCTGATGGTACTATTTTCAAGTTATATAACAATTGGGCGTCAAGGACATTACTTATTCTGACACCTGTTTTTATTATACTCTGCTAGAGTAGAGTTCACAAAATGAATGTTCACCTGACAAATCTGCTACATTTGAATCCATGCCATAATAATCTGGGCTGCTGTAACTTCAAAATCAGGGACCCCGGCAATGCCAAGTAAATATGGTCTTCAATACTCTGAGTCGAAAATTAAGCCACAGGAGAGCATTCACTCAACTCGACAAGGAACTTACAGGAGGTTTTCGATGAGGTGCTTCTTTAAACAAGGCTCTCTGAAATTTCTTGCATTATTTTCAGTGAGGATAGTATCACATTTAAGAAATTAAATTAGGTGTGCTGTACTTAAGGAGCTTCCCTTTGATTTAATTCGTTTCCCCTGTTCCCCAGTGCACTATGACCCTTCAGTCAGTGTGAGCCAGCCATTGGCCTGCAGAGCAGCAGATAGCAGCTGTTTGCTCATTCTTTGGGAAAGAGGGGAAAGTCCAGCATCAGCCTTACGTCTCTGTCCAAACTCTGTCTGGAAAAACTTGGATTACATGTATTGCAAAGGAAGATTTACAAACCAGGCCTGTGTTAAATGTTAATATCTTCCAGGATAGGCTTTAGTGGCTCCACTGGATAAAAATAGGGTTTTTTATTTGTCTTAATCTGTGTGTTTGAGGATGAGTGTGTACCTGCTGGTCCTCTGTCTGGCTTTGCTGCAGCAGGAGGGAAGAGCAAGGCCAGACCATCCAGGCTGCAATAGCCCTGAGGCAGTGAGGGTGACAGAAGAGGCCCTGGAGCAGATCAACCAGGACCGGACAGACGGATACATCCTGAGTCTCAACAGACTGTATGACCTCTCTCACACTCCTGACACGGTGAGAGCGAACACACACAAACACAAACAGAAATATGAGTAGATCTTGCAACAGTGTGACAGTAGATGCAATAGTATTTGCAGAGAGGGAGTGGACCAGCCACCTTGCTTGCAGAGCCACAAAAAAAGAAAACTAACATAAGAATTGTTATTTAAATATGAAAAGAAACACTGAAGTTTGTGTGTGCGCTTGTGTGTGTATGTGTCTGTGTGTGCGTCCAGGAGAAAGATGGGTCGCTCTACAAACTGACCATTGATGTCATGGAAACTAAATGCCATATCACCAGCAGGAAACCATGGAAACAATGTGAAGTCAGAGATATTAGTAGTGTTCCAGTAAGTACCACATAGTGGCGTATCTTCACTCTTCAAGATATTTGGTTTTATACTGATACCAAAATGATGCTTAGTTTAACACTGGCATACGATACCTATGTTGCCCTCTCTGTTTCATTATGTGTCCTTGTGTCTATACTTATATATACTGCATGTCTCTGTGTTTGTGTCCTTCAGGTGTATGGAGAGTGTGAGGTATCTGTCTTTGTTGACTCTCAAGTCAAACTTCAAAGCTACTCCTGTGCACTTCGTGAAGGTAGATCAATTGAGTTATTTTGACTCATTTGGGATTCTTTCACTTGCTTGAATGTTATCACTGGATTAAATGGCTGTAATCAGTGGTTGTCAGCCTCATACATATATGGGAAGGGGCCTGCTACACCTACTAGTTGGTTCAGAAAGCTGTTATCAAATCATTAAATGGTCATCAGGGGCATATGTACAAACATGTTAATTGTAAGGCAGCAGCCTCTAGTGAACATAGCAATTATGACGGGAGCCAAAGAAGGAAGTCATGTGACGTTGGAGAAAGAGCGACAGGAGGCCAGGGTGCGTCAGGGTGGTAGTTGGGTCAAACTTGTCCTTTGTGAAATCAAAAGTCAAAGCTGACATACATACTTAACTTTCGGCGACTTTCGCTTTTTTCATGTCAATTTGGGTGACTTGTGGGAATAGTGTAGATCCGAGGAGTTTGCATGGCAGTGCAAGAGTCTGGTTAATAATTCCACTAACACAAACGAAATGAGCATATGACAATGCTGCGCGCAAAACAGCTGTGTAGTGTGTGAACCACTTGTTTTCATTTGGATGATGTGCTGCTGGATCAAAGATCATAGAGCGCTACACATAGGGCAGGGTTGTCAGGTCCGCTTATAAGCCACGACTTTGGGCTTGTTGTTTTGTAGAGTCGCTTACAAATATTGGTAGTCGTGGGTTGTGTTTTTTTTGGGCTTGTTTCTAAAGTGGAATTGCTTATTTGGGCTTGCTCTCTAAATGTCGCCTTTCTCTATATATATATATCTGTCTAATAAGTTATTTAAACGCATGATAGTATGTTGGACTGCAGGATGTTTCCACAGCTCCGCTCCCTCCACCCCTCTCCTTCTCCGCATACACAAAGGTGACGGTCAGTCAATGAGACTTTTCACATTTAAATTGCGTGATTAATTGAGGTTCTTTAACTATTTCGCTAACAAGGGGGCGAAATATGGAAAGAATACAATAAAGATTTGTAGAAAGAGAGAGGATTAAAAGATTCGACTTCAAAAGGGGGACGATTCAAAGGCAGTGTACAGATTCAGATTCTGTGTGAAATATCTACTCATCATTCAGATCTTGTTCAGCATACCAGCACTGTCAGTGAAAGTAAAATGGCTTCTTTTAGGCAACTTCTTTACTTTCATTTTCATTCATTCATTTATTCTTCCCACGTTTTGGTGGGCTAGTTGGTTTGGTAGAGTTCAAGAGCAGTAAATACAATGTACTTGTAAAGTAATTTTGAAACGGTTGCTTATGAAACGCTGATAAGTCCATGCATAATATACAGATTATCTACAGTGGCCTCTGGCTATTTTTAAGGTTGTCATTTTCATGCCAAACAACGCAAACATTCCATAAACATTCCGCATTTTATATCAATTCTAGAGTGAGAAAGGACCTTGTAGCTGGTATAAAAAAGAAATTGTGGAAAGAGGTAGGTTGAACTGCACTCTGTTTTGGTAGTTTTGCTGAAACATTCAAATTTGTTCGTTTGCAGAATGAGGAAAATTGAGTGTTCGTGTATTTTAATATTCAGAATGTTGCTTCAACAAGCTCTCTCTTTTTCGACCATACAACTGTTTGCATCGCTGAACTTACATCACGTTATGTCATGAAACAAACATATTTATTTTAACGCAAATCACAATCTTTTTCTAAACCTAACCACCACCGGTTTTAGTGCCTAAACCTAATGAAACTGAAACTGAAACTGCAAAGCCATTTAATGCACTGATAATGACAATTTAAACATACTGGCAGGAACAACTTCCCACCCATAACTATGAGACGGCTAATCACTAATAACAGCCATTTAATGGTCTGATAACATTCAAAACTGGGAATTTTATTTAACACAAAAACACAAAAGGTCTGCACCTTGCTGCTTTCATTTTGTAAATGTGAGTGAGGTATAAAATAAAGATGCTGACATACACCGCGTTCTTTCTCTGGAAATTTTCTTGCCCAAAATACCTCCCTGAGGCAAGTAAACATGGCTGTTTTAAATCCTCAACAAACATTTTGGCTCAGCTACTTTCCACTGACCTTTGAGCCTGTTAATTCTTGTGTTTCAGTTCCTGCTACCGCAGTGGTGGATGTGTGTCCAGATTGTCCCACAGCTGACAACCTGAACGAGCCGGTCATCAAGGAGACAGCCAATCTCTCCCTGCAGAGGTTCAACGAAGAGAGCCGCCTGGCCAACTACTTTACTCTGGAGAACATTATGAAAGCTAGTTCACAGGTCAAGACAAAATAAAAAAATAATCATAATAATAATATTTTGGAAAGCATCAAGGATGAGTTTTGATGTTGTACATGGTGCCCTTTTATCAGATTGATTATATATAGTAATAACCCCCTGAATGAAAAAATATGTTCAGAAATCTTGACTGAACTACATCTAAAATTAGGCTTTCTTACCTTATTATTTAAGAATTCTTATCTCTGGTAAATAGTTCACGGTTTGTAGAAAACTTACACATGTCTGTGTATGTGTGTATGCATTGTATCTTTATGTGTTTTGTCAGTGGGTTGTTGGTCCATCCTACTTTGTGGAATTCACCATTGTGGAGACGGTGTGTTCAAAGAAAACAGAGGAAAGTGAACTAAGCAACTGCCCACCTATGAACTGTCAGTTTGCTGTAAGACACACACACACACACACACACACAAAATATTAGCAATGCTTTAATACATAATTTAGTGTTCTTACTCTTGGTTCCACCCAAAGGCCCCACCATTACTGAATCTTTTCAGGCTCCAAACATGATGTTGCCAAGTTGTAAATCCAGACTCAACTATTCTTGATTTTTTTTCTCTCAGCATAGAGGCTTCTGTTTGGGCACACACATGGCCCACGAGGAGCAGTTTGAAATCCGACTCCCTGTCGGAAAAAAGGACAGCTCATTTCACAACCGGAAACCTGTAGAGGTGAACTGTGAGATCTACGAACCTCAGGTGCTTCCTCAGATCTGATCTTTAACATTTAACATCAAACCAACTATTCTAATGTATTAGTTGTATCTCTGTTATCTCATTGCTCTCAATCTCACCACTTTCTTTAATGTGTTCCTTTGCAATTTCCTGACATCAGTAGAAACTGTTTGCCATACTGTCTCTTTTCTCATCCCCTGCAGGCTGCCGCTGCGGAGGAGCAGGCCCATGCAAAAGCAGACAGTGAACACACTGAGCATCAGCCCCACAACCACACACACCTGCACCCCCATGAGCACATGCACTCAGTCACATCCAGCTCAGACCTCACTGTCTCCAAGCCTCGGGGCACCCTCGGGACTGTGGTCAATCAGCCTGCCCCTGTCCGATCTGCCCCAGCAGCCAGCTCCTGCCCTGGCCCACACAGACACAATCTGGGTTTAGACAGACTCAGGCTCTGACTGGCTAGACCAGGACAGTTTAACTTTGATCAGTTACTCAAGCTACATTTTTCCTGCATGTTGTAATTAATTAAGAAGGACAAGAAATTGTGACCTAGAAGTAAAATATGGAAGGACAGTAATTAATCCTTGTAAATAATCAGATTACATTAACTGATTAAAGCATTTACATAGAGGTAAATTGTATCATTTTCTCACATGGGTATTATTTAGCTGCAGACGTCACAAGAGGAGATGATACTCTGTGAATAAACATCCATGAATCTGCTTAGAATTAATAGAAACAAAAGACTCTCCTTATTACTCCATAACTTTCCTGAGAATAATTGTGTTTTTAAGTTTTATTTAGTATTGGTATACTGCAAACAGGAATTGCTCTTGGCTTATTCAACATATTTAATGGTGAGGAGGAATAATAGGAGGAACAAAATCCATTAGTAATAACTTTGCATGTTGCACTGTAAATTTATCACTGTAAAACAGTAAAATCAAGTTGGCAAGCACTTACTTTGCTGCATGGTGTTTTCCATATTTTTGTTATCTTCCAAAGACTGACAGATATATCAATGTATCACATTATATGGAAGGTAAAAATGTGTACAGTACGAATGTGTTACTTTAACTGACTTATCAACATATACCAGGCTTTTACTGTACAGTTGATTCCTTTCAAGCCTTTTGAGAACAATATTTTCTCTGATTTTACATGTTTAATGTAATCTAAAGGTTCAAGCTCTCTGACTAAATGAAGCTAAATTTAGTTGGTGGTGAGGCTCTGCACTTGCGCCCTCTATTGTTCAGCTGCTCCAGAGGCAGTTTTTGCAGTGGAGTCTGTCAAAGTGAGAAATCATTTTATTTTAATGTCACTGATTTGCACTTACAAACTAACCCTTAGCAATGCCAATGTTACAGTGGCCGCACATTTTCATACACCTTGTGATCAAACCCAGCAGCTATAAGAAAGAATAGTGCAAGACACACAAATCTCTTGATGCATACAGTTCTGTACTTTGCGGTCAAACAAAGCTATACAAGACATAAACAAGTTAAACAACTATATACTGATGGCAACTGCACTTCATGTCTTGACTAGTATTAACTTGTTTTCACTGTTTAATGGACTTTAGAACAAAGTAAATACTGCTGCCACTAGGTGCATCTAAATATGGGCCTAAATAGTATTTCATGCTGTAACTGTATGGCTCTATGAATGGCTTATGTGAATATCATGTAGATTTTTGTATTCATCAAATTCTAGCAACCATGAAGGTCTTCGTTTAGCTTCAAACAGCGTCCTTGGCTACGATTTTCTATAAAAATGAAGGTTATCTCTTTTTGTATTCCTGTTACGATGTCCAACAGCACAAGAAGACATTTTTATTCCCGATATCTCAGCCGTTTCTTATTGGTGTCTGCTGTTTATCTGCCACCAGCATGCACGCGCAACTGCTGTGACGTACCTGTGACATCCACTAAAAATTGGTCTATTGGTCAGCTGCCTCAGAGGCAGGTTTTGCTGTAGTGGAGTCCTTCAGAGGATGTCTGTCACAGTGAGGAATCATATTATTTTAATGTCATTAATTTGAAGTTAAGTTAGTGAAACATAAGGAGAACCCTTTGATTGTTGTTTTACTCACCTGCTAATGAACAGTCTGGTAGGCCTGTTGAGTTGTAGGATTTGCAAAATCATATCCAAACAATAGTGAGATTAATGTAGGTAAGTGTAGCACACATTGTCAGTTACAATCACACACTAAAACTAAAAACACTAATTAGCCTACCATCTGTATAAGGCTACCATCCAGTGCAACTTGAATCAATACTGTTACTGGTGGCTTTACTGAAATAATTCATTTATTTTTTTTCTTTAACAACAATAATATCTATTGAGATATTTTTGTGATTCCATTATCTTTAAGTTTAATGTGTGTTACAGTTAAGACTCTTTCTTACCTTAGGCTGAATTAAGATCCTGACACTGAGATGGAGATTATATCCTCTGAGAATATAACATAAAAACCCAGTAATAGCCTCCAGTAACAAAGGCCTTCTCTGACACGTCACGCTGCTCTGCAGCAGGTGTTTATTCACTGCAAACAAGCTTAGCAGCAGCTCGCCGTGATCGTATAGTGGTTAGTACTCTGCGTTGTGGCCGCAGCAACCCCGGTTCGAATCCGGGTCACGGCAGGATTTTGAGATACTCTGTTTCTGTATATTAAAAAGTTCTTGGTATTACAGTTTGACTTTACGAAAACACTTTCACCCCAGGTTTAGAAGAAACTTGTTGTTACAGTGTCCAACACAACAAAGCAACAGAATAAATTAGCTGCACCACATTATTTTAAATTTAGCAGCACATGGACCAACTCCAAAATATATATAATATGTTTTAGCTTGAGTTGTAACCTTAATACACCAACAAACAGCCTAAACTATACACACACTGCACTGCTACATTAACAGCTGAGCAAAATTCACATGTAGCATTTCACTAGCTATGTTTCCAACCAAAAGTGATTCAAATCATTGGGAAATGGGCATTTAAAGGGCCAGTGTGTAATATTTGGCATGGTTTATTGTCAAATCTGAATCTGAATCTGAATATTCTACCCATTAATATGTTTATATAAGTGTATAATCGCTATAAAATAAAATTTGTTTGGTTTTCGTAGCCTTATAATTATGCTTTTATATATGTATATATATATATATAGCACAATAGTATCTTGCGCCGCCATGTATGTACGGCAGACTGAGCGGACAATCCAGCCAGCCAGAGAACACGTTTCGTGTGTATAAATAAACCAATGAAGACAGCGGAAGGAAGGAAGAAGGAGGAGGAAACAGCAGAGAGTGTTAGTAGTTCGTCGATAGCGAGTAGTGAAAAGTTTTTTTAGTTCTAAAGTTTGCGAATGGACCACACTTAGCACACAACAGGAGAGAATGAACCGGAACCGTCATCTGCGAGGAAAAGAAGACGCAACTTCACTCCTTGTGATGCACTCTCTGCGGCGCTTTTCCTCCTGATGAGTGTGTGTGTTACGCCAGAAGAGTCAGAGTTTGGGACAGAGTGGAGTGTTACTGGAGTTTTTAGAGTGCTCAAATAAACAGGCCTTTTTCTCGAATGCTCCTCTGGTCTCCTGCTCGTGAGGGATTCATTACAATATGTAACATGGCTTAGGTTTCTAAATAAACATTCAACTCGTCGCTAGATAGACCTACTCCTAAAAAACTTGTGTCTGCGCAAGGCTTTTTGTCCCTACGAGGCCACCGTCATTTACCCGACGGGAGGGGTGAGCGAGTGAGCCCTGCAATCTAGAATTTGACCACTGATGTCACTGTTTTCAACGGTTTTCAACCCATTTTACACACTGGCCCTTTAAAGAAATATAATATGTCCCCTACTCCCTCCATCCGACGGATACCTGGATTACGTGAACCGAAAGGGGTGGCCCTCCATCATCCTGCAGGCAGTCGTGGATGATCAGTACCAGATCAGGTATATCTGCGTTGGAGCACCCAGCAGTGCGCACGACGCAGCTGTGTTCACCATGTCCGACTTGTACAGGTAGGGCTATGATCCCAAAGAAAGTTATCTTTGTAGTAGCCTAATCAAAATATCAAATAAATTTAACTGTCTGTATTCGAATGCTTGGCTATTAATGTAGACCTAATATTAACAGTATCTGTGAAGCAGACTTTTTTGTTTTTCCAGTTTACTACTCCTAATCCCATAAGAGCCAGCAGCCAAAATTTCAGAGTTCATTGTGCCTGTTACAATATGCATGTGACAAATACATCTGATTGTGACTATCTTTAACAGATTCCCTGAGAGACATCCCCAAGCCAGTGCTGAGGTAGAGGGGGTCCAGGTGCCTCTGCTTAGAGCAGGAGACCTGGCCTATCCATTACTCCCTTGGCTGGTGAAAGGATTCTCTAGTCCCAACCTAACAGAGGAGCAAGAGGCCTTCAACGCTCAGCTTAGTGCTGTTTGTGTTAAGGTATGTGTGTTTACGCCTAGGAACTGGAAATAACATACAGTTTTTCTCAGTTGCTTTGGTGCATTTCTCTGATCAGAATTAAAATTCTCATAACTGTTAGTTCAACCTCCACAACATTTAGTCATTTGTGCACATCAAAGTAGCAGTTTCTCATTCCTTCCAACAAATTTCAAATGCTTTTGGACATGCATCAATTGCTTTCATACAATTATCTGCTGTTTTATAACATTATCATTTGCTTATGTCATGTCAGTCAAAATGAACTATACTTATGAATGCTGAATAGTCATTCCCTATAAAACTAATAGTCCTCATTTCATTGCTTGAGTCATTACATACAAAAATGTTGAACTAGTTGTCAAAATCTGTCAAGCAAATTTTATTTTATTTTTTCATTTTTTCCTGAAAATGTCTCCTAAATTGAACAATTTCTCTCAGGTGAACCTCAGCTTTCACTGATGAGGAAGGGTGTGTGAAGCATTAGTTGTAACCAATGATAAGCCACTTCTCCACAGTCATGTCTGGATGTGCATGAATGACTTACAGTACTGTGTATGTTGTATGTTCAGTTCCAAAATGTACTGCAATATTGTTTAAAGTTGTGCACAGCTCTGCTAGTGATGGCCGAATGGAGCCTCGTGAAGCATTTTCTTTATTTACTGAGCCCACTAGATGGCGCTCTTGGTTTAAAGAGAGAGGCTCAAAGAATGGCAATTCAGGGTGTTTTACTGTAAACCTTTTGTTGAACAGAAAGCGCCATCTAGTGGGCTCAGAAAATAAAGAAAATGCTTCATGAGGCTTCATTCAGCCATCACTAAGCTCTAGCCAAAGGCTGTTTCTTATGTTTGTTGTAAATAAGTGTGTATTTTTCTTTTGCACAATGCTGTGAACAAATTAGAATTGCAAAGAGCATATGCAGTAAAAATGTGAAATATACGTATTCAGTGTCTTGTACTCAGTTACCTCACTAAATACAGTAATGTGTAACTTTACTGTAGTTTTCAAATGGCTGTGCAAATAGTGTATAGTGCTGTCTTGAGCATTTTCAGGTAGTGTCACCAAGATCTGACTTTTTTGCATTGGAAAACACTTACAGAGTAAACTGTCATAATGAAAACATGACAAAGCCACCTTTTTCTCCGCCATGTACTTCTGCTTCATACTTTTCCATTTGTTCCTTAACGCGGTTCATGGTTTATCAAAGCCCCCAATGTAGACTCAGGGTGTTCCGGACACTTGGCACAGTAAAAGTCCCATAAGATATCAATGCGCTGATAGATACGCTTGATTGGTGTGTCTATCTCTGGGGGCAGGTCTTACATGCATACCAAAGTTTGATGACACATTTTGGGACAACCGTTTGGGAGAAATGTTGAAAAAACAGTCAGTAGTCACGGTGTCTGGAAGACGGTGAGTGCTCACAGTAATCCGGACAGCTGGAAATTCCCACTCTCGGTATTCCGGACAGGTAAGAAGGAGTTGTTTCTAATATTATAAAACCATGCAG